CTGTCAGCTCTGAGGTCCCAAGCCTCTGTCACTCTGCAGGTCGTCATCCCACGTTCGTCTCAAAACAGCATGAGCCAAGGTCCGTGCACTCCACGACTTCAGGTGGCACACAAGAGAACCTTTTTTTTTTTTACAGTATGTATTAATTTTGCTGCTTATTAAAAATATAAATAGAACATCAGACCTGTGATCTCACACTGTGAATGCTCAGAATGAGACAAAAGTAAATATTTGTGTTTAAAATCTGTCTCTGTTTTTTGTTGTTGTTGTTTTTTCTTTTTTTTAAGAAAAATCAATTGTACATGTGGTACTTTGATGTGGCAAAAAATACCAAGACAAACTGCTAGAAGTTCTCCATGGAGGATTCCTCCTTTAAAAGCCCCAGATTCCTTCACAAGGCCTTCCCTCTTCCCCAGCCCATCTGCACCCCACCCAGACACCTGTAGGAGGACCTGCCCAAGGCCATGCTCTTTCGGACAGCATTGGTGCTCTCAGCTAAGTAAGGCTCTCACCCAGGGGCAGGCTCACCCTCCAGTCTCCAGCCAGACCAGAGGTTCTCAGTCCATTATAGCTTTGAGGAGGGATTCCAAAAGAGTTTAGAATAGAATTGAGAATGATTGCCTTGCCCAAACTTCTCTTGTGCAAACACACACACGCACGCGCGCGTGCGCGCACACAGACTCTGACCCCACACGTGTGAGCTAAGCTTAAGACAGTAGATTTATTCCTTTAACGAACATCAGGTTATTGAGCTCTGCTGATACCAGGCCCTGTGCTGGAGTCGACAGAGATGAGTTAGGACCCCTTCCTTTAAGATCTGAAAAGATAGAGGTGCCAGGGGAGAGGTGATGAGGTAGAAAGGCATTTCGGCCAGGAAAAAAAAAAATTATAAATATATCAGAGCCCCTGAAACCCAAGGCCATCAAGGGATCTGAACTGAAAGCCACCACTGTAGCCACACTGTGACCAAGGGTAAGGGGACGAACAGAGAGAGTCTGGGAAAGGCAGCGAGGGCCCCATGAGCCAACTGAGGAGGGCGGAGTCTGTACTGAGGGCAGTGGGGAGCCAGGAAAGTCTTCAGAGAGAGGGGGGAAGATGAGGAGGGGCATCTATGAAGATGCTCTGTGGCTCTGAGTCCTCGGGTGTAGGCTGGGCCGAGGCGGGGAATGAAAGCAGCCCTTGTTCACCTATCAAGCCTGCATCTTTGTTTTCTGTTCAAAGGTCCCAGGTTTCCCCTGTGCTACCAGTAGCTCCAGGCTACATAATAATGGGGGCAGAGCCCAAGGGTGTGGGACAAATGAGAAAGGTAAGACAGAGAGAGATTTCAGAAGCGTGGGCAGCCTTGGGGCGGCGGGAGCCGAGCCCAGGAAATTCACAGGGGTATGAATGAACTGAAACCCCTAAGCAGACTCTGAGCTGGCTGGCACCAAGCAGGGCAACTGCAGATGGGAGAGGGGACGGTCAGGGTTGCAGCCAACTCAGAGTTCTCCTCTGGTCTTAATGTGGGGAAGGTGGCCTCACCCCAGAGGCCCCAGAAGCTGGTGGCAGGGAGGCAAGCAGGGCACCTTGAAGGCTTAACCTTTGAATGAGCCTCCCTGGGGACCAGAGGATCCCCCTTCTTCACACTTTGGGGTCCTTCGGCCCTCCCTGGTTAGACCTTCCCATCTGCCCATATTCCCAGGCCAATCAAGATGCTAATGAGTGGAGGAGACAGGGCGGGAGGAGGGTCAAGGATCATGTGCACAGATACCTCCAGCCCCAAAGGCATCATTTAAGTGCAACCACCATGAATGTACACAAGGGTGCAGCCAGCTTCCCCCCACCCCTGGCCCCCAGCCCCTATTCCCTGCCCTGCCTCCCCTGCATGACCGTCCTTATCCAGAGCCAGCACTGAGCAAGCCTCCACTGGCCAAATATGGGCAATCAGTGCACACCCTAAGTGGCGAACTGCCCTTAGTGTCCCTGACCAGGGCCCAGTCAGCGATCTAGGCCTGCCCACAGCAGCGCGTTCAGCTGTAGAAAATCATTGTCAGGTGTCTGACCACGACGGCAGTGACAGAAAAAAACCAGAGGCTCAGAACCCACATATCCCATAGTTAGATTCCACCATTAGCATGCACTGTTCTTTTTTCGTTTGTTTTAATTTTTCCCATTTTATTTGGGGGGGTAATTAGGTTTATTTATTTGTAATGGGGGCACTGGGGCTTGAACCCAGGACCTCATGCATGCTAAGCACGCACTCTATGACTGAGCAATGCCCACCCCAGCATGCACTGCTCTTACATCATTACATATTAATCCATTCATTCAACCATCCAATTAAAACATATACAGAATGGGGGGTATAGCTCAGTGGTGGAGTGCATGCTTAGCATGGACGACGTCCTGGGTTCAATTCTCAGTACCTCCATTAATAGAATAAAATTTTTAAAAACTTAAAAATATATAGAGAGAGAGAGAGAATGAAGTTTCCTAGGCCCCTCTCAAGACCTGCTAAGTCCTGAGACAGGGCCTAGAAATCTGTATGTCTAACCAGTTCTCTGGGTGGCTCTGCTATTTGGGAACTCCTGTCCTGGTCCAGATAGTCATTCCATGAAGAAACCTACCTGCAGTCAGTCGGCAGTCAGGCAACCAGCGTTACCTGGGATTCTTCCTTTGCCTGGAAGCTTCCTACCTTCAGAGAGGTCTCTCCAAGGAAGGCCTTAACTTTTGGGGCCAAAATGATCTCCGGACACACCTCCATCCTGGCCAGCCTCTTCCCCAAAACACACTTCAGTGTCTCAGCGACACCACCCACAATGTGGCCCCAGAACTGGACACAGCTTTCCAGTGTGGCCTGAGCAGAGCAGAGGCCACTGGTCCCATCCTCTCTGAGCTGAAAACTAGTCTTCCACCATTCGGCCTGCATTTGTCCTCTCTGCTGAGAAAGGCAGGACACTAGCTAATGGGATGGAGGGATGTGAAACAGATCCTTTATTCACCAAGCCAGGACCAGGCTGGCCAGGCCCCTGGAAGCAGAAGGTGTTCAAGTCCTCTTACCCATCTTAGGCCTCCTCTCGTTGCCAAGATGATGATGATGGAGACAGTGACAGATGTTGATGGAGCCCTTAATGCAGAAGAGCGTGGCTCCAGGCACATCATCTGCATCCATTCATTTAATCTACACAAAACCAGAGTAGGTCATATTAACTCCATTTTTCAGACGAAGTAACTGAGGCTCAAAGGGATTAAGTAATTTATCCAAAGGTACGGGTACTTTCTCTTTATATAAACACACACACAGCTCTGGATTCACAAGTTCATTCACTGATCTCAGTGTCCCCGAGCTCCCTACTATCAAATCCTATAGGCTGGGTCCTTCTGGCTAATACACCGTGCTCTCAAGCTTTCCTGACTACAAATTCCTCTCTGCCTGTCCAAACTTAACAGGCCTATGTCCTGCTCTGTTAGCACATCGCTAGGTGGCTGGAGACAACCTGGTAAATAAAATTAAGCTAAGGTTTCTCCAGCTGATACACTTACTCTCTCAGTATGCATATATATATTATATATATTTATATATAAATGATGTGTATATACATATGCATGTGTATATCTAATTTTTAAAGTGGAATTCTTATTTTGGAACACAAAACCATAGCAGACTATGATAATATTTATATATTCAAGGTAATCTTCAAAGTCAAACTTCATGGCAGGACCAGCAGAAAAGATTTGGGAACTTCATATATTGACCCCAAATCACATCACATTAGACTGAATCTAAGGACAGCCTGGCCTGGCTCAGTCCCCTCCCCAGGGGACACACAGGGCATTGATGCTGAGTATTTGAGAGTCCTTTTCAGGAACCCCCAAGAAGCTCTGGCAGAATCAGGAGCCACACTCCTGAAGGGACCCCTGGAGGTGCTGATGAAAGGGGAAACATTGGGGCAGCCCTCTGGGACTAGATTTGCAAGATGAAATATAGGATGCCCAATGAAATTTGAGTTCTAGATAATTTATTAGTGTAAGTAGATCCCAAGTATTAAAATTTTTTAAGTTTGTTGAAGCAACATTGGTTTCTCTAGTGCAAGTTTCCCGTGTACATCATATTTCTACTTCTGTATACACTACAGCGTGCTCACCACCAAAAGTTTATTTTCCATCTGTCACCCAACAGTTGGTTCCCCTTTACCCATTAGTAGTTCCCAAATATTGCACTGAGCACACAGACTAAAAAACTGCAGTTTTTCTGAAATCCAGATGTACCTGGGCAGTCTGCACACATTCAGGGAAAGAACAGGAGGGACGTTATGACAGGTGGTACTGTGTCGGGGGGTGGTGGCCAGGGCACTGCCCTGACCCACCTCCCCCACCAGCCTCTAGGTGGCCATGGAGCCAGGCCAGGGTTGGTCGGGTGAGGGAGGAGCCATCCTGGGGTGCCCTGCGGGGGTCACACTCATGCTTGGCTGAGTCTTGGATCCAGGAACCTCCTGTGTCAGAAAAAAACCAATTTCTTGAGGACTGGCCTCCAGCCCTGAGAGGCCCAGCAGTCCCCCCTCCACTTTGCTCCTGCCTTATTCTTGATTGTTTTTTTCTGATCATGAAAGGAACCCACATTCAAATGTCACAGGAATGGATAAGTCAGAAAGTTCCTCTGGAGATTACTGTCAAGTTGGATGTGGCTTCTTCCAGATTCCTCCTCAATAAAAGTGTTCACGCGCGATCATCCTTTCCATAGACAGAACCGTACACGCTGTTCTGGAACTTACTTCTGTTTAACACAGTAGCAGGCACTTCCGTGCAGGTGTGTTTCTCCCTCATTGCGTTTACTCCGCCTCCTTTTTTATGCACTGGTGTTTTGTCTTCTGGAGCTGAGCCCCTCTGAGTGAGGGATGAATGACAAGTGCTCAGAAGCACATCACCCAAATATTTGTATATGACTTTGGGTGGCAAAGCCTTACTGAGGCTGATCTGCCCCCTTCACCCTGTGCCGGGCAGGGGAGCAGCGGGGTTGGGGGAAGGTCGCTGAAACGGGTCCAGGAGGCTGAAGGACTGTGAATGTGACTTTCTTGTTGTTGGGATGGGGAGACCCATCTCTAAGGAGCCTCCATCAAAGGGCTCCTGGGTCACACCATCATCGTGAGACTCTGTGTTTGTCTGGAGCACTCACCCCCAGGCTCCTCCTCAAGCCAGGGAGCCCCTTTCCTAGCATCCTCATCAAGGTCACCTGACTCCAGCAGGGGCCAAACCCCTGGGCAACGCCAAGAGCCTCCCGGCCTCAAACAAGTTGGGCGACATTCACTTCCTGGCGCTGTCCTCCCGACCTGCTCAGTCATTAGGAAATGCCCTGGCGGCGGCGGCTGTCCCAGTGACAGCAGCAGGAGGACGTGCCGCCTGCCTGACACCTCTGGGTGGCTCAGATCTGCTCTGCGGAGGCCCTGGGTGGAAGGTGGATGCTGCTCGCCTTGGTCCTGGCCAGAGTGAGTCTGGGGGCTGGGCTGGGGGGGGTGGAAGGGGCGGGATGCAGTCAGAGCTTGGCAGGGTTCTGCAGTGGCACTTGAGTGATGCTGGGGTGTGGGAGTGTGTGTGTGTGTGTGTGTGTGTGTGTGTGTTGTCTAGGGGTGGGGAAGTGGTCACAGCTGAAACTATAAGGTCTGGTCTTGGGGAATCCAGGAGGGAGACCCAGGTGCCTAGAAGTCTTGCTCTGCCTCACAGGCCCGCTGTCCCAGGGTGGGGAGGCAGGGGTCACCCGGGCTGGTGACACCCCACCAGTCCTTACAATGGGCTGCTGCTGCGAGGTACGATAGACACACAGAAAGCTGTGCATGTCTAACATCTACAGCTGCATTCTGGTGCTCTCGTGAGGTGTCTTCATCCCTGGAAGTTTGTGAAATTGGCGCTCGTGTAGAGGTGTGAGGGCTGGGACCTCCCGTGCTGCCACATTCTTCACCTACTCCTGGGCCAAGGTCTGGAGGCTCATGCAAACCCTCGCTAGAGGCAGTGGTGCCCAGCACGAGCTGCGGAGCCAGGCTGGCCCGGCCTCGCGTCCCGGGTCTGCCCTGTACTAGCAGCCTGACTTTGAACAAGTTACTTAAGCCTCGGCTCCCTCATTTGTAAAACAGAGATAATGTCTACCTCCCAGGGTTGTTGTCACCATGAAATGAGGAAGGGATGCAAAATGCCAAGCACATAATTAGTGGTCTGGAAAGAGCCGCTGTTGTAATTATTTATTATTAGCTCGACACTGGTCCCACCTCTCCCAGGAAGACTTTCCAGCCCTCCTCCCCCAACAATTTCCTCAAGCACCAATGGGGATGCATATAATGTCCTGCACTGTTATTCCGCTCATCTGCACCCAAACCAGAGCAAGTTCCCCACATTTCTTCTGCTGCCCTCTCCTCTGCCCCAGCATCCAAGACAGAGTCAGGCTCATAAGAGGAACTCAAGGATGGAGAATGAAATGGGATTAAGAGGAAGGGAGGGACACCAGGAGGGAGGAGTCAGGGAGACTGAGAAAGGGAGGTGAGAAGGTGGGGATGAGCGGGTGGCATCGTCCAGACGTAAATGGCCTGCCTCTCTCAAAACACAGGAAGGGGAAAGGATTGTGCAGAGAGGCTGTCGGTAGGGACGTGGGATGCATCCTTTTAATTTTTCCTTAAACCCAGTCCTCCCTGCTCCCCTGCTCATCCTAAGGAGAATAGTGCCTCCTGGCTTAGCTAATATCTACTCGCCCAATCTACCCTCTGATGCTAATAATGTTCTCTATACCACCTATGAAATCAATCAATCTCTCTCTCTGCCATCTCCCTCTCTGTCACCTCAGACAAGTCATGTCCCCATCTCGGGACCTGGGTCTGCTCACCTATAAAACCAGATTTTACTAAATGACCTCAAAAGTCCTTTCTCCCCATCATTCCTCCTTTTTAAAAAAATCTTTTTCAAGAAAATTTATAAGTGTTCACTAGGCTCTAAGGCTTCCTGAAGGGCTTTCTAGCTCACTGCTGATCTCCAGTGCCCAGCCCAGTACCCTGCATGCAGCAGGTGTTCAGTATTTTCTGAACAATTGGCTGGATGGATGGAGGGATGGATAGATAAATGGATGCACTTGAGAACAACCCCAGTTTAGACATTTGCAAGTGTGTTACGAAACAAAAATGACTGAGAAACACTGGAATCACCAGCTTAATTGTCTATTGCCCATCACTTACCTAATCCATTGTCATCTCGTTCAGTTATTCTAATTTAAGGAGAGCTGCCCTCTTCCAGGGTGTGATTTTTTTATTTATTATTATTTTTTTTTAGTTATCTACATAATAAGGAACATTCAGGGAGCAGAAGGAAGGCAGGCACAAGGAGGGGAAAGGACTCAGCCTGCCTTAACAATGGCACCTGCTGTTTACTGAGCACTTACTGTGGGCCAGACTCCACTCACGTTAGCTCACTTAATACTCTGAACAACCCTGAAAGGAAAGTAGTACTATTATCATCAATCCCATCTTAGAGATGGGAAACTAAGGCTTGGGTAGGTTAAGCAATTTGCAGACAGTAATGAGGAGATCAAGGATCTGAACCCAGCTGCGAAGACTGAGCACCCAAACCCCCAGCCCCAACCTGGGGACCACACCGAGCAGCTCAGAAACCAAGGTTTGGAAACCCCTTCAAAGGTTTCTGTGCTGCTGCCAGGGTCCCCAGCTCCCTCTCCCCACCTCCACACATTTCTGCTCTTTCTTACTTTGGGGACATTTGCAACTTGGCAAAGTGGACTTGGAACCAAGCCAAGAGAGGCGAGAGATTCCAAAAGATTTCTGATTGAACAAATGATAGTTTGTCTTTCCTATTAATTCACCTTGGTCCCACTGTGTCCTCTCTCAGACTTGGGGGCTGCCCATAATGTAACAGTTGTCAGCGAGTCCAGAAGTCTTTGGTCTACGTCCCTGATGGAAGAATATATGAACAGGTGACCACAGTTCTTTCTAAAGACCCTGTTCTAGATGAGTGTAGATTACACAGCTGTGATACTGGGGACACTTGGACCGCATCAAATACCCAAACAGGTGTTTCCCCTCAAATCATCACCTTGGGAAACTGTACTTAATCCAACAATGCTGCCATTGCTGAGAGCATCCTTGGGGCCTCTCAGGTCTCAGATAAAGTCTGAAACCCACCTGTCACATTATGGTGACTCTCTATCTTTAATTTGAAACAGTCTCAGGCCACTTGACTCCTCATTTACTTTCTCGCCAGGCTGGGCACCAGTGGCTCTTGGCCATTTCCAAAATACCAGACACGTTCTTGAAGGATGAAACTCTGCCTTCACAGAGGTTGACCTGAAGGTTCTCTCGCTGCCTCGGGCAGGCCTCTGAGAAGAATCTGAAGGATGACTGAGCTGTGGCGGGCAGAGGAATGAGCCCGCAGCTCCCTGACGTGACTGCGTGGCGGACTAGTGGGCATTTGGATGTGTAAGTTCTGAGTTTTATTTTCAAAACAGTCACTGCTATACGAGGCACACGCCGCACAGAGGAATTAGGTCCAGTGGCCGAGTACAATCCAGTGGGTCAGTCGGCCCCTGAGTGGGGAGACTGAGGGGTGGCAGAGGATTTTCTGGACAACAGCCTCTCTGCACATTGGAGCCTGGACTGAGGCTGGGGGAGATGGGTGCTCCTGCCTCCACTCCGGCATCGAACCAGGAAGAGGCGATGTGGTGACTTCGCTGTGCATACATGTCATGGCTGAGGTGAGGTGTCAGAGAGGCGACACCTTCCTCACACCAGAAACCTCCTTCCAGAGTCCAGCGTGGCTGGGATCGCTCCTTGTCTCCCAATCCCCTTCTGGAAGCGGCCCCTCATGCCTCCTAAAGGTCTTGGTTTAATGTAGGGAGGTCACTGGGGAGGAGCAGCAAAATGAAAGGGTAGGAGGAAAAGGAAGAGGACAGGAGAGGAGACAAGGAGGAGGCGGCAGAAGCAGAGGCGCAGCAGGGAGGCTGGGAGGGGGGCACGGGAGGAAAAGGCACCGATGCTCACGCAGTGGCCCTTCCTGCCCACAGCTAGGGCCCTGCCCTCCCGGAGCGGCCATGTCCGAGGCGGAGAGCAAGGACAGCTCGGGCAGCGAGTGCCCCGTGTGCTACGAGAAGTTCCGCGATCTGGAGGGCGCCAGCCGGACGCTGAGCTGTGGCCATGTGTTCTGCCATGACTGCCTCGTCAAGTACCTGCTGTCCACCCGCGTGGACGGGCAGGTCCAGAGGACCATCGTCTGCCCCATCTGCCGCTATGTCACCTTCCTCAGCAAGAAGAGCTCCCGCTGGCCCTCCATGCTGGACAAGAGCTCCCAGACCCTGGCCGTGCCCGTGGGCCTGCCCCCAGTGCCACCACCGGATGCCCTGGGCCACACCAACCCCCTGACCGTCTCCCAACCTGTTTGGAGGCCGTCCCCAAGTCAGGGTGGCCAGCTGCCCTTGGACCTGCCGCCCGGCCTGCCCCGGGAGCCGCAGATCTTTATCATCAGCCGCCACGGGATGCCCCTGGGGGAGCAGGACAGCATCCTGCCGCGGCGCAGCCTAGCTGAGCTCTCGGAGGCCTCCCCGGCGCCCAGCTCCACCCGGTCGTTCTGCTGCCGCTCCCGGGCCCTCCTGCTCATCACCCTCATCACCGTGGTGGCCGTGGTAGCCGCCATCCTGCCCTGGGTGCTGCTGGTGAGGAAGCAGGCATGAGCAGAGGCACCTGTGGGGGCCACCGAGCCAGGCTTGGCCTGAGAGCTGCTCTGGCACAGCCAGGCTGGAGGGGTCTGGCGCAGCCCTGGTCCAGGGGCGGCCCGGGGCATCTCCCCACCTCGGGCTCCTCGCTCCCAGAGGGGCTCAGACACGACAAGGGGCAGGATTGCCGAGGCCAGAGCTGAGCTGAGCAGCTGAGCTGCAGGCTGAAATGGAAATGCCAGGTTCCAGGCCAAGGAGGAAAACGTGACGGCCAGCCTTGGCAGGTACCTCCTCTTTCCCCTAGGCTAGAACTGAGCAAAGTAGGAAGATGGGTGCTACCCCTCAGTGGGCTCCCCGGCCCGGAGGTGTGGCCCTTATCTGCCAAGTGACCCACCTGAGGCCAGGTAGGGCTCCGTGCGGGGACAAGGAAGTCCTGATGACACATCCTGCCAGATGGGGGCCCACTGGCAGGACTCCTCAGGTCAGAATGCCCACGCAGCGTCCTCCAGCTTGCGCCCAGGGACAAACAGAGGGGGTGGCACTGGGGCTGAAGGCACTTGCGTTCCCCCGAATCTCAGCATCCACCTATGACCCTCACAGCTGGGCACCTGCCACCTTCCCGCCCCCAAATCACCCGCCTGGAAGGTCTTCCCCGAGGGAGATGCTGATCTCAGAGGCTGCGGCCCAGGATTCCCGGGGGAAGTAACAGAAAAGGGGAGCTGAGGCCATGTCAGGAATTGGGGTTTGCTGACAGAAGCCGAAGGCTAGAAGAATGACCACAGAGCCAGAGGTCGGTCTCCCCAAGCCTCCCAGGCCCAAAAATGGTCCAAAGTTTGAGTGCTGGGGTTCTCAAGGATGGCCTGCAAGGTGGGGAGTGCAGGGGAAGCCTGGTGGCCAGGGCTTGAGTCAGCCGAGAACTATGTGGGCAAACACAGCCCTGGGGGCTCCTGCTTCCCTCCCAGCCCAGGTCCTCCTCCTCATGACCAACCACTCATTCATGAGAGGCCATACCAGCTGGGCCAGTTCGAGGTGGATTCCCAGGCTGGGCTGGGCAAGGAAGGGTGGGGAAGGGAACAGCTGTGCTTGACAGGGACGCGGCTGACTCGGTGACCACCAGAGCCCAGGTGCTGTCGGCAGCCAGCCAGGGCCTCTTCACCTGGGGACCCCACCCTGGACCTTCATCCTTCATGAGGACCTTGGAAAAATCTCAGGTTGGGTCTGGGGAGCAAGCCATTCGGGACAGCTGTTTCCTGTTTATTAAGGCCCATAAGTCAATGAGCCATCATAATTTTCGGATTAAGAACAGCAAAAACCTCAAGCTCTTCTCTCAAACAGGTGGTTGTTGGCAGCCCAGGTGTGCCAACAGCTAAGCCCTCTTCAACCCACACCTCTCTCGGCAAAGTTTGCTGACTGTCGGGAGAGAAATGGTGCCCCGCCTCTCACCTCGTTCCTAAAAGCCTGCAGTGGTGGTTATGTGGGGACCCCCAGGGGATGGGAGCCACGCTACAGGGGACTTCTGGACACAAGAGGGCTGATAGAAAGCACTTTCGGGCTTCCCTGTGCTCTCTTCACAACTAGAGAAGAGCACAGGTGCTACTGGGGGGACCCAGGCGGATTCATGGGGGAAATATTTATTATAGGAATTAAAATGTTAAATTTACAAAGACTCTAGTGAGTCCATTTTAACCACAACCAGGCTGCTTTAAACACTTCTATGAATTTCTAGGGACCTGATTTTAGTCTTTGCAGATTCCACTGTGTTTGCCAAAAGTGGATTCCAAAATACCTGTAGTGTTTTCATGTTGTTCAGCGGTGACTTGTCAATGGCACTTCTTTTATTTTCAACGAATGTTAAGAGCTATTTTTTAAATAAAGGTATATATTTTCTCAAAGATTCCAGAGACATTGCAAATGTGGGTGGGAAGCACTGAGCTGATGAAAAAAACAGTCACTAAAGGTGCAGGGACATTATGCGGCTGTAAAAAGAACAAGGAAAGTCTCCAGGATCCAACAGCCAATGGGAGAAGGCAAAGCGTGGAAACTGGGTATCAGATACAGTTTGTGTGTAAAAGTAGGGGAATGAGACTTTGCATTCCAGTTTGCTTATTTGTCCATAAAGCAATTGGAAAGATATTAAAAAAAAAAACAAAACCAGTAACAGTGATGAACTGTGGAAGGGGGATGAGAAAGTGATGGAATGGGAAAGGGATTTCTGAACCAAGCAAACATATGTAGTATTCAAAAATTAAACTGAAAAGTTACATGAGAAGCTAAAGATATCTTCGGTGCACACACCTGTTGCCTGGTGAGGAGCTGGTCCCAAGAACATTCAAGAGCCACCAGGTCACCTGTCCGGCGGTTCCAGAGAGTCAGCTCACGGCTCGGCGGGGCTGGTCTGTCTGGTTAGAGGTGTGACATCTTAGGCTTAACAGTCATCTCAGGAAGAAAGGTAAAAAGTTCAATATTCTCAATGCTTCTAAGACCCTGGGAAATTCTTTGGGCCTCATCATTTGATGTGCTTGTTCTGATTCCTTCTTCTCCATCTTTCCTTTTCTTTCTCAGATAAAATCTTTTCGCTTTAAGCAACCACCCTGGGGTCCGGGTACTATGGAAAGATAGCACCATGGATAAACAGGTAGACAGACAGACAGACAGACGGACACCCAAGGTTAAGCATAAACAGTTGCTCTTTTCTTCCCCCCTTGTCCAGAGGCATCCCCTCTCCATACACACACACACACACACACACACACACTCACTTTGCTACCTCCCATCACAATAACCTTTGATGTTCATACACACTGGGCCTATCAAGTGTGCAGAAGGGTCCACACGTGGCAGGTGGGCCCTGAACCAGGGTTACCAGGAGCCTGGGCGCACATTAGAGACCTCTCCCCACCACTGCTGGGGTCCGTGACCTCCGCCCTCAGTGAAGCCTGATGACTCACAGGCCACGCTTCTCCCGCCTCCACCTCTCGCTTTGAGCTCCTTCTCGAGCCAAATGTCCTCTCTTGGCACAGAATAAACAACCTTGCTCCACCCTCACAACTTGTCACTTTCCTGCACCCTCCTCTGGCCCAGGACAAGCGACCGCCACAACAGCGTCTCAGCACACACTACAGGCACTTCCGACAAGCAGTGCTGGTGCAGGCCTCTGGGCCTGGCTCGGGCAGCTCCCTCCGCCTGGAACATGCTTCCTTCCTTGTCTACCCAGAAAACCCCCACCCAGCTCGCCAGAAACAGTTCGAGGGTTACCTGTAAAGGGGTCCCCACCCCACCTGAGTTAGAATTGGCCACTCCCACTGCATCTCCATCATCCTCCCAAGCCACTTTATTACTTGTGTTTGTTGACAAGTCCATGCCCTCCTCCTAAACAATGTGCTCCTTGAGGAGAGGCTAAATCTCACCAATCTTGGTAAGATCATACCAAGTGCCTGGCACAGAATTTAGCAAAGAGTAAAAGCTGGATAAATATTTGAAAAATGCATGAGTGAGTGAATGAATGAATAAACAAATAAACATGATGGTTGGGTGTTCAGAAAAAAGTTTCGTTCATGAAGGTAGGCATGTGATCTGGATAATTCCTGCTTTGGTGTGTCTTAGGGTTTCTCAGAGCCCACCTTCAAAATGACCCTAAGGAGCCAATTTGAAAGGACTCATGTTAAGAGGAATAGGAGGAAGAGAGCGAGAGAGAAGGCAGCCAGGTGCAATGGCCTGAGGACCACAGGGGTGGAGCCAAGATGCCCAACAGACATTTGTGAAGATAAACAGACTCCAGAACTAGGCTACCAGCAATTTGCATCTGCGTGTACCATTGCCATCTTCACCCTGTATAAAGTGGTTATGCTTCCAAATGGTGGGTTGAAGGTTTAATTTCGATGACTCAGTGTTGGATGGAAGGAGGGAGGTGAGGATGCCTGAGAGGGCTGGGGGGACAGCAGGGGTGATGGGGAGGCTGAAGAAACCAAGAGGGAAGAGAAGATGATGGGGAGACCTGAAGAAAAGATGATTTAAAAAAACCAGTAAAGACAAGAAGAAAGAGGAGGGGGTGAAACTGTGAAGACCAGAAAGGAAGGCAAGGAAAACGCAGGAGCCTCCCATGGCTCCCTATGGCTCTCAGTGTCCAAAGCAAACTCAACTCAGCCCAGAGCCCTGTGGGCTCATCCCTGAATGCCTCTCATGCCAGCCACAGGACCTGGCTCCTGGAGACAGTGCGTCATGGGGCTTCATACCTCCGTGCCTTCCCTCAAGCTATTCCCACTGCCTCATGGTGCTAATTTTAACATTCCTCAAAACTCAGTCAAGGATGACCTCACCCCAGGTGCTCCCTGACCCCAGAGCTCTCTTGCGCTCCCAAAGCCCAGGAGCACCAAGGGCAGGCGGGCTCAGTGAGTCCTTCTCTGGGGTCCTGTGGTTGTTGATTCCATTGTTTCTCTCTGCTCTTAGACGATGAGCTTCCCGCAGGAAGAAACTTTAACTAATTTCATTTTGCAACTCTAACGTCCACGAAAGATGTTCCATAAACATTTGTTGAAAAGAACTGAATATTTGAATTATGAATAAAATCTGGGGCTATTTCTTCACAGCATGTTTAAGAACACTACTATTTTCAATCATGAAAACACATGTTTTTGACTGACTCCACCCTGGGCCCTCAAGGATATGGTTTCTCACTCTTTGACTCCACCCCATGGGTTCCCACAGATTGGGACCATACCCCCAGTTACCAGAAGGGGCTGGGAAGCAAACCTGTACAGGTTCGTCTATAACCGACGGGTTCTGTATAACCTTGCACAAGTTCCTCTCACTTCTCTGTGCCTCGCTGTCCCCATCTGTAAAATGGGACAATACCAGGATCGCCAGACTACTTGGTGGATTAAAGGAGCTAAAAATGCAAAGGGATTAGAAGAGCGTCCCTAGCACTCAGCAAGCTCACTACATCTTAAGTATCAGGAGATGCGTGTCTTCCCTCAGTATGACACCTACATTATTCATTCAACAGAAACCGACCTCCTACCGGGTGCGCGGCCGGGCACGCGGCGGGAGTTCACCCCGCGCTGCAGTCCTCTGCAGGGGAGCGCACTATCGCCCCGCGTCCACCGGATCCTGAACTGAAGGAGGGCACGCAGCAAAACTCGGAAAAGGGCACAGCTCTCTGCGTGGAAAGACTTCCTCACGCCGCGCTCCTTCAAAGGGTGGTCTCGAACCAACACCCTTGGCATCACCTGGGAGCTGTGAGAAACGCGGTTCAGACCTACTTCCGCAGGGTTGGGGGCGGACCCGTGACCCCAGTCCTCGGAAGGCTTTTAGACAGCTGGAGCCGAATCTCGGGCGGGCCCCGCGGAGTAGTCAGCACGAGCCGGGCTGGAGCAGATTCCCGGACAGGTTCGTTCGACACGCCCATGCCCTTGGCCCAGGCTGGGATGTCCAGGTGACCTAGGTAACCGGCCGGCCGTGGGGCCCCAGCGCCACCTGGCGGCCAAACGTAGGACATGCCCTTTCCCGGCTAAAGGGGTCCCCGCCGCTTGGTACTGGGAAGTGAAGGGACAAGGGTCCATGGGGCCGCTCGTTCCCTCAACAGCCGCGGGGGCTGCTCAGACCCTGACCAGCCCCCGTCACTCTCCTGGGAACCATCGTTCCCAAAGGACGCAGCTGCAGAACCCAGAGCTCCGAAAGGAGGCACCGGGACCTGGAGAAGGGTTTTGCAGCCCCTTGCAGTTCCCCTCCGAGCCAAAAGATGACACTAGTCATTAACTTCTTTCCTAGTTTCCTCTCCGCGTTCAAACTCCGCGCCCCTCTCATTCCAAGAGACTTCGGTCTCGCGAGATCTTCTCATAAATTTACAGAACCGGAAGCAACCTGTGGATCTCTTCCCTTTCGCGGCCATCACTGAAACGCCAGCGGGTGAGAATTTGCTGGGACAGCGCGTGTAATCCGGAGCCATCTGTTCACGGGCATGGGGGCTCTCTACCCCGGGGGCTCCGATACTGTTCTGCCGGCAAAGTAGCACCCAGGGAGGGGGGCCAAGATGGTCTTGAGCTATTTTTCTCCCGGCTCAAGTGCCGCCGGGCTGGGGAAGGGAGGAGGAAAGAGGGTTTGAGGACTCGGAAACGGGAGCTGAAGGGGACGAGGCGGTGGAATCTAGTCTGGACAGTGTAGTGTTCTGAAGAAAAAACTTTACGGAGTTTCAGACCGCGCTCGCCCTTTGTAAGGCTGTTTTATTGGGCCCTATTTCTGTGCAATTTCCCAGTTCAGGATGGGGGGCCTGGTTTCATTCATTTTGGAGGGGACTAAATATGTTCACGCTCAAGTTCGTTGATGAACGTCGCTCTTTCTAAAACGTGATGCTGTATTTGAATTGAATTGTCAGTCTGCTTTGCTCTAATTCAGCAGAGATGTGAGTCCTGTCTTAAGCTTTCCTACCCAGTATTTACGTAGTTTCACAGTGTAAACCAAAAATTTAATTAAAACAAATGTGTTGCTAGTGAAGAGTCTTTATATTCCATAAGCAAGTAAAGAAAACATCCCATTAAGGCAATTTAGTTCCAGCAGTTTTTGGTAGAGTTAAGGAACATGTTAGTTTCCGTGAGCATTCTAAACTTTCAAGATGAAATTGTTGGCAGTTACTTGTTTGTAAACTGAGTGAGACTTTGGTCGTTTGAGGGTTTACACCTCTTTTAACTTTTTCTTTAGCCAAAATGAAGTTCAATCCCTTCGTGACTTCTGACCGAAGCAAGAACCGTAAAAGGCATTTCAATGCACCTTCCCACATTCGCAGGAAGATTATGTCTTCTCCTCTTTCCAAAGAGCTGAGACAGAAGTACAATGTTCGATCCATGCCCATCCGAAAGGATGATGAAGTTCAGGTATGTGCCAAGTTCGGGCATCTTGGCTAATATCCCGCCCGTTTGACATACAGGAGGGATTGCATTCTGAAAGTGATACATCTGAGACACTCGCTCCCAGAACACGGTTGCAAAAGGAATTGAGTCAGAGACTGAAAAACAAAAAGGATGCTGCCCTCTTCACCTTTACTCTTTGGTGAAAATCAACTGTCCCGAGCATCAGATGCAGTCAAACAAGATGGTTCGGAATCAGGACATTAGTTTGGGGTTATCTTTTTTCTGGGTATGTTTGGTAGTTGAAGAGGCGTTTGAGGACCAATAAACAATTCTGCATCTGAGTCAAAATCCAGATATAGAAGTTGTAACTGAAGCACAGTTTCACATGGTTGTTTGAGAGGACCACCAGATTATTTGCTGAATCTATTAAAGTGAAAATTTTTGTAAATGTTTCTTAGCTGTAACATGCAGCTAGTGATTAAAAGATTCAAGCAGTCTCTAAAGCAACTTATGTGATACTGACATTTCATGAGCTTTAACGCTATGTGAGAGTCTGCAACTGGAAAGAAACATCTGTCTAGAAGCACTCTGGCAAGCTGAGGCTCACTGGGACTCCTGGGTAGAGAATAATGTTAGTTAACCTTTTGGAAAGAGGTGGGATGCTCCCTTAAGTCTTTGCTGCTGCCTGCTGTTTGGCACTGATTTGAACACTTTAATAGGTTGTGAATTAAATATTTGTAGCCTGTGGCCTGTTCCCTTTGAGATGCAGTGACAGTTCCCTTGTCAATTTTGTACAGAAAACCAAGGTGGGCTTGTTGCTTATTTTTAACCATTTTACAAGCCCCTCATTGCTGGTGGATCATGGGCGGTAGGGTTGCACTGTCCATCACGGTAGTTTTATATGGAGCATAGTTTATCTGCAGGTTAATTAAAGCCAGAGATAGAATTATTGGCATATTTCCATTGATGATTTGGTCTCTCAAAATTGGAAGAACCTATATATTTCATAGAACGAATGGTGCTCACCTGACTCATAGTTCTCCTGATTTACAAGTTTAATATTCTTTTATCCACATACATCTGTTATTTTTGAATTTGTGTTTAGGTTGTACGAGGGCACTACAAAGGGCAACAGATTGGCAAAGTAGTCCAAGTTTACAGGAAGAAATACGTCATCTACATTGAACGAGTGCAGCGGGAGAAGGCAAATGGCACGACCGTCCATGTGGGCATTCACCCCAGCAAGGTGGGTGTTTCTGAGAATGCTTGAGAGGGGAGAAGGAAATGACAGCAGTTGTTGGCAAATGTGATTGCTTGTCTATAGACCGATCCCAAAGAAACAGATTTAGGCGTGCTGGAATCCAGTCTTAAAGCCAATGCTGTATTTTAATTAAGTATTTTAACAGCACTTAAGTTTTTTATGAAGTTAAGATGTCTTTGTCATTATGTATATTTAAGATACCTTTGCCTTAAAGGTTATTAGTAAGCTGATGGATCTAACAATGGGTAGATCTTAAGATCTAGGAAATAGGGTAATTTTTAGATGATATGGAGCTGATACCCTGTGTATTAAATGGAACTGAGTAAGTAATAAGGCAGCTTTACAACCCTACAAAGTAGGCTTTCAGCCATTTGCGGGTGGGAAAAACCTGGAGCTCAGGCTAGATCCCACTGGTCGTGGTATCTAAACCAGGATAAAAGATACGGTCTAATTCTCATGTCCTGAACTTTAACATGAAGCAGTGTCTCATTTGTCTGTTAAAAAAATTACATTTAACAGATTTATACTGGATAGCACAGGGAACTATATTCAATACCTTGTAGTAACTTGTGTTGAAAAAGAACATGAAAATGAATATATGTCTGTTCACATATGACTGAAGCATTATGCTGTACACCAGAGATTGACACAACATTGTAAACTGACTATACCTCAATAAAAATATATATACGCTCAAAAAAATGTTTACTATAAAGGTAATGAATGCACTTGGTGCCAGTTCAAATACTGACGATTTTTTTAGGATCTTGAGTTGGCACCATAAATCTAATCTTCAAACTACAGAAAAGTCGAAAGACTAGTTCAGTGAAACAGCTGCTGCATATCTTTCACCTAGAATTCATAATTAACATTTTCTTTCCTTCTTGCATGATTACAAGCTTCATGACACTTCACCTCTTAATTACTTCAGTATGTATCTCCTAAGAGCAACGATTTTCCCGTTCTTTATTTACTTGTCATATTTTTGCCCCCACCATGAGATTAGCTGTTGTCAAGGTCACCAATCCAGTGACTGATTCGAAGTGATTTTTGAACTTTATGCAGCATTTGATACAGTTGATCTCCCTCTTTGTGGCTTAGTTGCTTAATCCAGACAGACCTCGATATCCAGTTGACTATCTTCCATTTCAACTTGGATATCTGATCAATATCTCAAAACTGACATGTTAAGACTCCTGGTTTTATCCTTGAAACTTCGAAGTTTGCTACCATCACAGCATGTGTCAGCTCTGTCCTAACTGCTCAGGCCAAAATACCATTATTGATCATTACACTCCCCACATCAGTCAGTTAAGACCTGTTGACTTACTGTCACATGTTATCCAGAATCCTGTCTGCTTGTTACCATCAGAGTGGCCTACAAGACTGCCTGATCTCCTGTCACCAGCTCCCTGAGGTCATCTTATTCTACTCTCCTTGTTCTAGTCTGCTGGCCCCATTACTATTCCTACAGCCATGCTACTCAGTGTGCCTGCTGATTGGCAGCATCTCCTGACAACTTGATAGAATTGTAAATTCTGTTCCCAGGTCTACCAAAGCAGGATTTGGGGATGGGACTTGGGGATCTATTTTAACAAGCCCTCCAGGTACACTCAAATTTGAGAAACACAGATGTTCTGCCTCTGGACCTTTGTACTTGCTGTTCTCTTTGGAACACTTCACTCCTCATAGGTCTCTTTAGATGCAGCCCTATCCATAGGGCCTTGCGAATCATGATGGGATTAGCCCCTGTTCTCCAGCATTCCATCTCATACTAGGTAGAAGCCCCAAGGCAGCAGAGGTTGTCTTTTGGTCACCATGCCATATTTCCAGACCTCGTTCAGTGTTGTCTTCCTCCTTCCCTCTCCTGCCTTCATAAGACTAAAATTTATCATAATCCGGGCATCTTCAGTGACCAGACCTGTTTGCATAAGGTCTGTTCTGTGACTTTATTAAAAGCTTTTGCAGGTTGAATCATGTGTGGAGACTACATATTTCCACTTTACGGTACTAACATTGCTATAGAAACAAATGTGTATGACTTGGTTAGCTTATAAAACTGGAGTCAGGAGTGGAACAGTTGATACATTTTGCAGTACAAAAAGAAGCTGATTTTATAATAAAGCACAGAAGAGGATGTGAGAAGAACCACTGATGCCACATTCCCTTCTCTTTGTTGGTGGAGCATTAGTGAACATTTATTTAACCCAAGTTTGTTCAAGGGTAAAGAATCATTTCTGGCACTGAGTATTCAGGCATCCACTACCAGAGGTTTGGGAAATGGGATTGAATGTTGGGCCTTCCCATGTGTTCTGTATTGGTAGTTATTTAAAGCTTAAAAGAGTTTTTTCTTTTCTGCAGGTGGTTATCACCAGACTAAAACTGGACAAAGACCGCAAAAAGATCCTCGAACGTAAAGCCAAGTCTCGCCAAGTAGGAAAGGAAAAGGGCAAATACAAAGAAGAAACAATTGAAAAGATGCAGGAATAAAGTAATCTTGTATACAGCTTTCATTAAAAACTTAAAATGAAGACACTTCGTTTATGTGTGGTGCTTTGGGGGCGCCGCCTAGTTTTCAGGGAAGTTCAGGTGATGGTAGCTGTCTAGGCAAACAATATCTGTCTTATGCCTTGATTCCTCTAATGAGAAGTACTGTTTTAAAGAGAGGTGTTTTTTTTTAACTAACTTGGAGCATCAGTTATTTAATAACAGAGATGCTTGCTTTCTAAAAACAATCCTGAAATCAGGACTAATAAAGTAGTGATTTTCTTACAGCAGGCAGCATTATTTTAAGCTACAGCGGAATACCCGAGGGCCCCCTTTAGTCTTGTTTTCTGCTGTGGAGATGGATGAATGCCATTAGAACCAAACAGATCTTTAGGTTACAATCTGAAGCAAGTGTTTATCTAAAACGCAGGTTCTCTCTGAGGATTGGGTGATAATGTGCACCCAGTAATTGCTGGCAACGCTCGTGCGCGCCCCGCCTCACTTCAGCCACTTAAGCGCACAGAACGACCAGTGCGGTTTTACTTTACAGGCTGGAGGCGGGCACTTACCTTGAAGCCTCTGCCACAACGCAGGGGATAGGAGACCTGAGTTAGCGGCTGGCTTAGCCGAGGTCACCTTCCGGCCCCAGGTACCACCTCGGTGACCTCACCGCAGCTTCCGCCGAGCACGCTGCGGCCTGCAGGCTGGGCGGGGCCGCTGAGACCCTTTCTCGAGCCTAGAACTGGCGTGAGGCGTCTTCCCGCCTGGCGGCACCGGCGGCTGCTCGGGAGGCGGGGCTTCCGGTCGGCGCAGAGCCGCTTCCGGCGCGGCCGGGCTCCGGGGCCGCGGGGTCGCGGGCGTGGGACCGGGATGTGGATGGAGTGGGCTCCGGACTTGCGGCTCAGGCGCAGCCCTTTCCCCTTCCGGGCCTCTCCTGCAAAACGACCCGGATTCGGTGGTCGCCGGCCCTCTCGTCCCGCCGGCCTGGCTCATCCATTCAGCCCCGAGCTGGCCGCCCTCGGAGGAGTGGGCGGGGACCCGACTGGCGGGCGGAACCGGTGTGCAGCTGGGCGCCGTGGTGCCGAGGCGGCGGGAGTCGGGAGGAAGGCCGCGCGAAAGAGGTGATGCCTGAACCAGGTCTTCAGGAGTAAGCGGGAGTTTGTACTGTGGAAGTTGCGGGGACACTGTACTAAGTGCTTTATCTGCATTGTCACCGAGTGGTCCTAATAACTCATTGTGATGGAGACTAGTATTCTCCCCGTTTTATAGTTGCGGAAGCCTCAGTGACTTTTCTCGTAACACAGTAAATGATGGAGTCAGAAATTGAATTGCCCAAGTCAAGGCTCTTAACCGTACCCCTGCACTGCCTCTCTGCCTGTCTGCTGTACCTGTGAGCCAAGTGATTGACATACGTTCTTTAAACATCTTTGTCTCAGCTCTGTACTCATAGGCCCTCTAAGGGGATACAGCGAGGTAGAAGCCTCAGCCCCTACCTTCTAGGTTGTGTACACCTGATCCAGTCGACTGAAAATACAAAGCAAAGCGCTCCAGTGAGTGGTGTGGGCTGTTCAGAGGAGGGAGAGATGGCAATCAGCTAGAGTTGCTGAATGCACAGGAAGGATGCTGTTTTGAGCTGGGTGTGATTTGCAAGATCCTTGAAGGACATTCCAAGTCAAGGACAGCCAAAGCAAAGACCGACAGGTGGGTGAGGAAGGCAGATCTTTCCAGTTTTCTCTAAACAAGCACAGATCACACCAGGAAGCTGATGGTTTTCTTGGTGGCCACATTTCTTTCATCCTGCTTTAGAACAGGTGTTGAAAACTCAGATAATGGCAGGAGTGAGCAGCTAAGGTAAGTTAGTGCCTGGCTTAGAGACTGTGTAAAAAAGAGAATGTAGACTTTGTCTAAAGGCAGCTGCTGTCTCTCCGCTCTAGCCAATTGTTGCCAAGCAGCAAAGCTCCCAGTGTGACCGGATCTTCCCATTTTTCAAGAAAGCCAGAAATCTAGATGTTTATATGAAATCTCCCAACCTGTAAATATAAGTAAATCATTCTATTTTAAAAAAAACAAACAAATGCACACTGGATAGACTAATCAAAATATGTGTGTTATCCAAATTTGTTCTTGAGTTATGTTTTAGAATTTCCTGGTATAGTGTAAGGACCATTTCTTATCTTAAAGACTGAGATTTTCATCTTTTGGTTATAAACTATTTCCAGCCTGTCTTTGTCATTCTTTTATTGGATGGAGATGAAGCTTTTTCTTCCTGTGCAGTCCCTCGAAGGGCCTCAAATTGCAGCCAGTGCAGCCACTCAATTTCTGAGAGGTGCTGGTTTCAGGGAGCAGTCTGGAAGGTGCTCTTCCTGGATCTCATTGAATATCTTGTGGTTTTTTCAAGTCTCTGCTGACAATTTCTAGGACTGTCGAATGATAACAGATAATTCCTTGAGAAACAGTCTAATGTCGATGATATGGGAGTAATGGAGGAAACAAACTTTTTTTTTTCAACTGTAGGACTTCTCAGAGCCTTTAAAATGTCAGTTTGCACTGAGGATCTTAAGCTCAGGCTTAAAGAGCATTTTACAAACATTCTATTCAATTCTGAAGTGCCTATTTTTCACGTTTTAAAAATCTGGATGTTTTCATTTAACACAGGGCCTCTGTTTCTGTTTTTCCTCTCAAAAGAAAATTGTCATTAAGCTGGTCATTTTACAGTCAGTAGTGTCTTAGATCAGGAACGTTGCATGGTTAACCAGTGATACTGAGCAAGGGAAATCGAAGCCTTTTTAGCAGAGGACCTTCAGGACATGGAAGCAGGTTTGGCTTAACTGAGACTCTTGCTCAGAGCTTTTAAATGTTTCCATCTTTCTCTCTTCAGGATTCCACCTTCCCCTCAGCTCTTCGTCTGATGGCTGGCATCTCGGGGATCTTATTTTCCTAAAATTGTTGGAATTCCTGTGATCGTCATGAGAACTCTTCCCCTGGCCCCGTCACCATCCTGTTTCCTGGACTTGTTCTAACTAAGGAACCTCGGTTTAGACACCTGAGTATCAAGTTCTCTTCCTAAGGAATTCTCCAATTGGTAGAATGTAGACTCCATTTGGGGTATCTCTTTTTGGCATGATGATCTCCTGACACATCTCTGTGTCCGTAGGTGTAATTTTTCCATTTCTGGAAACAGACACTGCTGCCTCTATTCAGAACTATCAAGCCTGTACCTGAAAGTGTCTCCTAGCCTTGGAGTGCTGAAGTTCAGTTGGACTCTCTGCTTTGTTCTGGAAATTTGTGGGCTCCAACTCAGGCCATGTCACAACAGACCAGACCTGCAGACCTCCCAGGAGGACAAAACCCCTCTTTCTCACCCACAAAGCTGGACTCCTCTTGTTGGATAAGAGACCTTTCTTTTACCTCTTTTCTCATTTCTTCTGTGTAGTATTCACATGACTCCCATTCAGTCATGTATGTGGACACACCTTTGTTCCCGGTACCTCCACTGCCTCTTCCCCAGTTCTGCTGCAGCCGCTCCTGAGCCCAGGTCCCAAGACAGAACAGGCCTTTGACAGCAGCTGGTGTTGTTTCAGGAGGCAGCAACACTTGAGGATGTGATCAAAGACTGGAACTGTTAGGAAGCCTCTCAGAAGGACTGCAGCAGGGGCGCAATGCTGGACAGTTACAAGAACGTGGTGCCTCAGGGTAAGGAGTCAGTCTTACTAATCCTGTATAGAATCAACAGAGAAAAAGCCATCATTTAAAAATACTCCCCCCCCCACTTTCTCCTTATATCTCCTAAAATGAGGATAGACTCTTCAGCCTCAAGAAATTAAGTTGATTATGGGAAAGCTAAAAAGTCCTCCCTGGTGCTAACTTCAAATTCAGAGTTTACTATTATTATGTGGTACCCTCTAGTAACATTCTCATTTATATTATTTTAAAAGGAACATGGTCAGGGGTAATAGATCAGTGGTACAGAGCGTGTGCTTGCCATGTATGAAGTCCTGGGCTCAATCCCAGTGTCCCCATTAAGGAGGGGGAAATAAATTTTTTATTAGCTTTCTTAAAAAATAATTTTTTTTAAATAAAAGGAATGGAGGATATTAACCTATTGCTTTAGGGGTTTCCATTTATCCTCTCCTATTCAATTAACAAAGGTCAATTAATTAGGTTGTACTATGTGAGCTAACAGATTCATTATGTATTCTGTTTGCCTAAAGTTTAAAATGACTACTTATTTGTATATCTTGCTGATTTAAAATTCTGTTGGCATACTCTGGTTTTGAATGGTCCTAGTGGGCTTTTTGGTATCCTCATTCTCATACTGCTTTCTACTGTTACTCTAGTACCTTTCTTCCATGTCTTCAAAAACCAGATGAAAGCATGAATGAGGAACTTTGGAGGGAAAGTCTTCCAGGTGGAATATCAGTGAATTTAACTTTAACTTTGTTCTCTTTCTTAGCATCCTTCTTACAGTTCTCCATGGTGCCACAGAGAGCTGGAAACGATCCCCCTGGTGTTTCAAATACAAGTGAAATGGAACTGGAGATAAGTAGCATGAGAGAAAAATTTCTCACCAGTGTAACTAAGTTAGTAGAAAGCAAAAGTTACAATAGCAAGGTATTTTCCAAAGAAAAGTACTTTCAAACAATAAAGGAAGTCAAAGAAGCTAAGGAGAAGGGGAAGAAGTCATCACGTGATTATCGTCGAGCAGCAAAATACGACGTGATCTCTGTACAAGGCACAGAGAAACTAATAGAGGCAACTCATGGAGAACGAGATCGAGTACGGTATTATGTACATAAGGAGGAGCTGTTTGACATTCTTCATGATACACATCTCAATATCGGACATGGCGGGCGGACGCGCATGCTCAAGGAACTGCAGGGGAAATACGGGAATGTCACCAAAGAGGTCATCGTCTTGTATCTGACTCTGTGTAAACAGTGCCACCAGAAGAACCCAGTACCCAAGAGAGGCCCTCCACCTAAGCCCATGCCATTGAAGGACACTGACTCCAGATGCAAAGTGGAAATACTTGACATGCAGTCAAATGCTGATGGCGAGTTCAGGTTTATTTTATATTATCAGGACCACTTGACCAAGTTTATTATTTTACGGCCATTAAAAGCCAAACAGGCCCACGAGGTGGTGAGTGTCCTATTGGATATTTTCACAATTCTTGGTACACCCAGTGTGTTAGAATCTGACAGTGGCGTGGAGCTGACAAACCAGGTTGTTAATGAGCTCAATGAGGTATGGCCAGACCTAAAGATCGTCTCTGGTAAGTACCACCCTAGCCAAGGCCAGGGCTCCCTGGAGCGAGCAAGCCATGATGTCAAGAGCATGCTAAGTGCCTGGATGCAGAGTCACCACTCATGTCACTGGGCTGAAGGCCTGCGATTCATGCAGATGGAGAGGAATCAGGCCTTTGATGTTTCTCTGCAGCAGAGTCCATATGAAGCAATGTTTGGTTGCAAAGCCAAATTTGGACTCTATTCCTCTCACCTACCCCGGGAAACTGTGGCTATTTTACAAACAGAAGAAGAACTAGAAGTTGCTGAAGAACAGCTAGAAAGCAGCCTTTGGATCAGGCAGGAAGAAAGGGCTGAGGTTGGAGCAGACAGATCTGATATGGATGAGGACGTCAACCCCACTCCTCCTGAAGTTGCAGAGCCCAGCACCTCACAGGGGGCCCCAGGTCTGTTCTGCTGGTGAACAGACACCTGCTGGCTGGACACTCACAGTGCCTCAGGGTACCACTAGCCATCTGAGAACTGTTGCCAAGGTCCCCGGGGAAGGAACGAAGGCCGCAGTCTCAGGAAGGCTGTCTGCGGTAGTCCTGGCTCAGAGGGGAGAAGTGGATCAGGTCTCTGATGTAGGGCTGTTGTAACAAGTTGCCATAAACGTGGAGCCTTAAAACAACAGACATTTATTCTCTCGATTTTCTGGAGGCCAGAGGTCCGAAATCAAGTTGTCGGCAGGCTTTGTTTCTTCTGAAGGCTCTGAGGAAGAGTCCATGCCATGACCTTCTTCCTTTGGTGACTGCTGACAAGCCTTGGCATTTCTTGGCTTGTAGTAGCATAAATCCAGACTCTGCCTCGTCTTCACGTGAGTCTTCGCATGCCTTCTCTCCTCTGTGTGTGTGTGTGCTCCTTTTCTGTCTTACAGGACACCATTGGGCACCAAATCTGTGTCATTGGATTTGGGGCCCATTTTAACTGAAGATGGTCTCATCTCGAGATCCTTACCTTGATTACACCTGCAAAGGCCCTTTTTCCAAGTCAGGTCATGTTGACGGGTGCTTGGGGTTTGGACTTGGACATACCTTTGGGGGATGCAGCTCTACCAGCTACAATCAGTTAGAAGAGTGTGTTTGCCTGCAGAACATGAACTGATGGGCTCTTAAGCCTGTAGAGCTGATGGGGCTGCCCTACACACGTCTACTACATATTCCTTCCCCTGCCTCGTCCTGCTCAGACACAGAACCCAAAAGATGGGGCATCTGAGAAAAAGATGTAGATGCAGGATAAATAGTGAGAAGAAAAGAGATTGATGTAACATGCCTCAGAGAGTGGCTGCCCCACCAGCTGAGCTCTGTTTCCTGTTTCAAGAGAAACCTACTGTGCCACTCCCGCTCCTAGAGTGGCCCACACGGATTATTGCGTGACCTGCCTGAAACATATTTTAAAAGTGGGTCAGAATTATGGCACGGCTGGGATTTGAATCTGAGTCTGCCACTTTTCCACAGAAAAGCATGTTGTATTCCCGGAATGCGTCAGTGCATTCCAGGAAGTGACCAGAGTAGGGGAATAAATAACTAAGAACTCTGGAGCAAAATGCAAAAGTTGGCCTGATGTCACTGCTCCAACCAGAGAAGAACAGAGCAGGGCCAGTCTGGGTCATGGTTCAGAGTAAAAGGAAGGATAATGCCCAGGATCTGTGCACTGCTAGGTTCCCGAGGCCTGGAAGAGTACCTAGCCCATCAGAGGTGTTCAGTTAACAATTGGTTGAGTGAATAAGTGATTCTACAGAGATGGATGCAGGGGAAGAGAAAGGGCCTGCAGTCCTTTATTCTCCTGTTCATTCTTCCTGCATATCCCAGAGCGAGCTAAAAACCGTTCTGATTGCCCCTGGTGCTGGTTTCCTCTTCTGAAAGGGACAAGAGCAGTCCTGATGCCACCTGCCTCACAGGGTTGTGAAAGGTGGTGAGATAATGCAGATGAAATTCTACTATGTGAATTGTCCTTGGTGCCAGCAGATCTTGTCCTCCACTGAGAGAGAGCTGGAGATCTCTGTCCATTGCCATTACTTTGCTGATTGAACAGTGTTAAGTTGGATATCCAGGGAGCCTGCGTCATTATTAGAAAGGCGATGGTGTCACTTCCCAGCTTGTTTTGGGATCCAGAATCTTGCTCTGTCCTTGGCCAGCACCTCACTCTCCATTCTTCCTTTGTCCCTCAGCCTCACAGGGCCTGGGAGGCCCAACTTGACTGATGTTACCATCCCTCCCACCAGTGTCCTAGTACCTCCTGGTTTGTGGGCAAACCGGGAACCACATCATCAGCTCGTGTGGGTGAGAGGTGAAATGAGGCTCTATGCCGCCGTCTTTCCCAGGGGATGGCTACAAATAACTTGGGTTTCCGGAGCTGCTGCATAAGTCTTCCTCTTTTGCTTTTTAATGTTGGCAGTGGAGAGAGTTGAAGGTGGACACCTAGACCTAGTCCAGCCTTACTCTGCATTACCACATTTCAGCACCTGCAGCAGAAGTCACCAACTAGTGCGCCACTGTTTGCTTTCAGTTTGCAAATGTATTTTGTCCACATTAATGTTTTTTAAATTTAAAATATTAATTGCCATCACTTTCAAAACGGAAGATTTCATATAAAAATTCGGATGTCTAGCACCTCTTGAAAACTTGGAAGATCTGGTCCCACCTGGTCCACATTTCTGCATGGCAGCAAATGGCTGGAGCTAAGTGGTGACACTCCACCCCAGCCCGCCCCCACCATCCATGCCTGATTCTCCACTTGGCCGCCATCTGGGCCACCCAGAGGTTCTGCATATGGATTTCTGTGCCGCATCGCTAAAGAAAGGCAAGTGAAATCAGAATGTGAATAAAGGCCAGAAACAGAATCATGTATCTAGGAATTCATGGTAAAAGTGGCATTTCACATCAGTGAGAAGGGTTAGATTATTCAATTAATGGTGCTGATCAATTATACCTCAATAAAAACAAACAACAGTGCCAGATCATATAGCTGTTCATCTGAAATTTAGGTTGTTTCCACAGCTTGGCTATTGTGAATGATAGTGCAGTCAGTGAACATGGATGTGCAAATATAGATCCTGATTTCAGTTCTTTTGGGGGAAAATAATGCAGAATTGGGATTGCTGGAATATGTTTTTTTAATTTCTATTTCTAATTTTTTGAGGAACCTTCATGATATTTTTATAGTTGCATATTTTACCTTCCCATTGACAGTGTACCAGAGTTCTATTTTTCCACATCCTTGCCAACACTTTGGATTGTTTTTTTTTGTAATATCATTACTAACAAGTGTGAGGTGATATCTCATTTTGTTTTTGATTTACATTTCCCTGATAACCATTGATGTTGACCATCTTTTCATGTACCTGCTGCCTTTTTGTGTATCTTCTTTGGAAAAATGTCTCTTCAAGTCCTTTGCCTGTTTTTTAATTGGTCTTTTGGATTTTTTGCTATTGAGCTGAAGAAGTTCCTTAACTATTTTGTTTTGTTGTTGTTGTTGTTTTTAATTTTTTTTTTAGATGGGAGGAGGTAATTAGGTTTTATTTATTTCTTTTTAGCGGAGGTACCGGGGACTGAACCCAGGACCTCGTGCTTGCTAAGCATGCGCTCTACCGCTTGAGCTATACCCTCGCCGCCGTGGGTATGTATGTTACTCATGCTGAACTCACTTTATTCCAAACTCACTTTCCGTTGCCTTCATATTGACAGATCGTGCTTGTTCCCTAAAGCAGTGATTCGTTTTTTTTTTTTAATGAGGCGGGGGTAATTAGGTTTATTTATTTATTTGATTTTTCAGTGGAGGTACTGGGGATTGAACTCAGTGCCTCAGTCATGCTAGGCATGCGCTCTGCCACTTGAGCTATACCCTCCCGCTCTTAAATATTTGGGATATTAACTCCTTATCAGATATATGGTTTGCAGCTACTTTGAGAGAAGATGTGAGGCCCAGAGATGGATGCTTTAGTGAATGTCTTCCACTTACAACTTTATCAGAATTAGTTTTATATTGTGGATTGGAATCTGCTTTTTTGCAGCTCTAGGGGAAGAAAAAACACTTTCTTCTGATATTTCTGAGATTCTATTCCCAGTGGTTTTTTGAGGATAAACATTGGAATGTCATTAGTTAGCAGTGAGATGGGGAGGGAGGAGTATCTGAGAAGCTCAGACTTCAACTCTTGGTTCCAAATTATTTTGCATGTTTTCTGGATATTTGTGCAACAGATCATTAAAGCATGAATTGCCAAGGGGAAGTTCAAATATTGTGTGGGCCAGTTACTTCTGCACAGTTATTTTAACCTTTTCTGATTTGGTGCCTTTGGGGTGTAGAATTTTAAGGGGAAAGGTTTAGTGGGGGTGTTTTTCAAATATGTAATTTACATATCTTTCCTTTTGTGGAAATTTTACAGAAATTGTTTTGAAACCTGAGATAGTTTTAAATGTAAAAGAGCAAGAAACTTCTGTCCTTCAAAAGTTAACCAATGACAGAATAGGTTTGTCTCTGGAATCTTCTGAATTTTGTCCAGAATCCTATTCTTTGAATTACTGAAATTTAGTTTCTGTTCTGGATTCCTGGTTCCACTTTATTGTTGTTATCTTGGCGCCAACCTTTGTTTACCCACGTTGTGACATTTTTACCCCAGAATTAATTACCCCAGATGGTCTGCTGTACTATGTTTTCCAAGCAAACAAAGTGGGCAGGAAATAGGAGCTTCCTGAGCAAATTGGCTTTCCGTTTTAATATGAGGCTTTACCTTTTAGAAGCTTGTTTATTTTATGTCTACTTTTCTTATTTATAATTGATCATGTATATAGGTTTGGATCTAATTATATTTTATCTTTTTCCATTTAAATTTTGTCCTGATATTTTGCCTTTGGCTTCCCCAGGTCTCCATTGTAGAATCTTACTGTTCTGTTTAATTTGAACTGTTACATCCTTTGTATTGGCTAGCTCCTTGCTCACAATAACTTCTCCGCACCTGGAACTTTGGCCTAGGATTTCTTTTCACTTTTAGACCCTTCCTGTGACATGAGCAGATGAGCTCTTATCTCTTTCCTCTTTGGGTTTTGCACAGACGGGTCATTCAGTGACCAGATGTTTGCCTCTCTCCTCCCCTATGTCACTTCAGCCCCGAGTGTGCTGCTCTTTGAAGGATATCACCTCTCCCGATGCCTTTTCTCCTGATACACTGACAAGAATCCTGGAAATGGCTGCCTTAAATGCAGGGACCAGTAGAATCTTGCCTCAACACATAACCCAGACCACCAGTAAGAACCCAGCTGTTTTCCAGCTCTAACACACTGCCTCTGCCTTCGGGTAGGGCGGAGGGAGCCAGTCCAGACCCCTGCAATCTGCCACCCTTCCCCCTCTCCAGATGCAGGTACTTTCTGTATCAGGAAGAGAGCCTCCTTGAAATGTGTCTTCAGTCTTAGCTTGTCCTCTTCCATCTCGCCTCGCCCACCCATTTCTCTAGCCGATCTCATTCTTTGACATCAATAAACACCAACTGTGTGCCTGCCATGGTGCTGATTTACCATCAAGTAAACAATCACAGTAGAGTGCTCAGTGCTGAAATAGGGCACAAAGCAAAGATGTCTAAGTCTGTACAAGGGTGCTCAGTGAGGCCTCCCCACAAACTGATGTCCTCACATAAGCCGAGCTTTGAAGGATTGTCTGCAGTTCGCCAATATACATTCTCCATCCTGCCTCTGCATTCAAGGACTTCTTGCAGGGGAAATAGACTTGCTGAGATCCTCAGTAGCAAAACCTGGCTGAGTAGGGGAGTCTGGACTTCCACCCTGGACAGGCTGTAACAAGGCACCTCTCCTACCACCGCTGCCTGTCCCTACCTCCTGCCAGGGTGGTATCACAGCAGACCTAGTGGGCACCTGGGACTCACACCCCTACCTGGCAGTAATGAACCTCCCACACACATACACCCAGTGTCGGTGAGGACTGCATGGGGATCCTGGACTTCCACCCCACCCACTGGTAATAAGGTGCCTCTTCTCCCCTCCTGGGGTGTGTCAGAGGAGGCTGAGTGGGAAGCTAGAATTTTCACTATCATCCAAGGGCCATCACTGCACCCCAAGTAGACGCCACATGGGGAGCAGTACTGAAACACATCTCCCCCTCCCAGCCAGGGAGGCCTAGTGGGAAACCTGAAGTCCTACCTCTGGCCGGCAGTAGCAAAGTACCCTTGCCCCTGCCAAGGGCACCCAAGGAGGCTGAGTGGGGAACTGGACTGTCACTCCCCGCTAGCAGCAGCAAGGAAACGCTTCCTTCCTCACAGCACAGTGTCAGAGAAGGCCAGGGGCTGGGGAGGGGAGTGATTAGATTGGTGAAAACGTTCTGGAATTGAATGGTAGTGATGGTTGCACAACACTGTGAATGTACTAAACCCACTAAATTATGTACTTCTAAATGGTGAGTTTTATGGTATGTGGATTGTATCTTTAAAAAAATAAAAAGAGCCATGGAGACTCACTCCTGGGCAGGAATAGGACTGGGTCCTAATAAGCAGATTTCAACTTCTTCCCAGCTGGATTTCAGAATTGCTATAAACCAGGGATTCCTGTGTGCCTCTCATGTCCCTCCTTTTTAAACAGTGACGGCTATAATGGTTATCCTCTGACTGTCCCACCACTGTACTCTGGGTATGCAGGAAATGATCACTTGTCTCTTGGGTTCACGGGAATTCAGATGGGAAGAAACTGTACTTGAGGAGCTGGACTTAAGGAATTACATCCGAAGATCTTCACCTGTACCCGGACTTAATTTAGACGGTGTATTTGTTGGCTAGGGCTGCCGTAACGAAGTACCACAGACTGGGCAGTTTAAACAACAGAAATTTATTTTCTCACGGCTCTGGAGACTGGAAGTCCAAGATTAAGGTGTACAGACATTTGGTTTCTTCTGAGATCTTTCTGCTCAGTTTGTAGATGGTCAGTCGCCTTCTCACTGTGTCCTCACATGGTCTTTTCTTCTGTGCGCACACATTTATTCCTAATCTCTTTTTATAAGGAAACCAGTCAGATTCGATTAGGCCCATCCTAATGGCCTCATTTTAATTTAATCCCCTCTTTAAAGACCAGATCTCCAAATACAGTCACAGTCTGAGGTCCTGGGGATTAGGGCTTTAACCTATGAATTTGGGAGGGGGACACAGTTCATCCCATAACAGAGGGCAGATGTATTGCAAAATTTTGAAACTCCCCATTTTCCTGATGCCTCAGCATCCCCACAGATGGGCTGTGAGCACCCCGCCAGGTGACCAGGCGCACCAGTGTGATAAGGCTGGTTCCTGCCACAGGTTCCACTCCTTGGCTTCAAATGCACCAGTGAAACCCCCTCATGCCTTTTGCTTGAGTGCTTCACCCTGACCCCACTAAAGATGTGCCCACGGGTCCTCACTCTCTCTCAGCTCTCCATGTGCTTGCCGGAGCCTACTCCCTGGGTGCTCCTCCCATGTGGCCCCTGCATGGCCTGCCATGCCTCCTTCTTCTAGGACCTTTAATTTCTTCTGCCTCTGAGTGTTGTTGCCACAGCCACATTGGAATAATCCTTAAAGACCCCGCAGGGGGAACTTAACTCCCCCCACATCTAGCACAGCAGGATTCTCAACCCTCAGCTGATTGATGCTGAAATGGGATGAAATTTTGGAGGGCCCTTGGGATAGGTGAGCATATTTTGTATGTGGGAGGAATGTAAATAACTTGGGACCAGAAGGTAGACTGTGGTGGTTTTAAAACGTATCCACAAATTCTTGATACTCTTCCCCTCAGTAGGTGAAAATTAATTCCCCTCCCCTTGAGTGTGGGGTGGACTGAGTGACTTGCTCCCAACAAATAGAAATATGATGGAAGGTTCAGTGTGTTTCTCCCAAGACTAGGTCATAAAAGGCACTGAAACTTCCTCCTCATTGCTCTCTTAGATGACTCTCTCTGGGGGCAGCTAGCCCTGAACAATCAAGTAGCCCATGAAGAGGCCTCTGTGGCAAGGAACTGAGGCTTCCAGCCAACAGCCCTGTGAGTGAACCATATTGGAGGTAGATCCTCCAGCCCCAGTCAAGCCTTCAGATGACCCAGCTGACATCTTGACTAACCTCCCGAGAGAGACTGAACAAGAACCATTCAGCTAAGCTGCTCCCAGATTCCTGATCCCAGAAACCATGCAAGCTAATAAATATTTCTTATTTTAAGCTGCTAAGTTTGTGGTAATTTGTTATCCAGTCATAGATAATATACTAGGTCTTTATCATAAGAGGAAAATCATATATAGACTTGAAGAGTAGCCCCCTTATTTATTTATGTTACCTGCCTAGCCTCTGTAGGCATTTGAGTTGATGACTCCTACAAAATTACAAAATCTCTTTCTCTAATTAGATGATGTCTATCTCCAACGCAGAGGTCATGACATCTCTGTGTTCTGTGCCCCTTCCCCAGGATGACTGATTCAATAACTTCTCCAATAAGCCCTTGCCAGTTACCATTGTGGAATGTCTGTTCTGCCTAATTTTTAAGCCCACGGATTAGGTTCTTTGCTCAGAACACTTGCTTGGAGGTAGGTTAGAAATTCCACAACTGTTGGTCAGGGCTTTGTGAGTTCTCAGTCACCTGAGCTGGACACTGAGGGTCAGGTTGCTGCTCAGGGCGCCCAGTACAGCCACACCCCCTTTTGTGCCCTCTTTGTTTAACCTGCTTCTTACTTTGGGGTCATTTTGCTCTTGAACCCAAGTTCATAAGTGATATCTCCCTCCTGAATACTCCCCCTACCTACTAATAACAAATGTTGGAAACGGGTAACAAAGTTTAAAGAGGCTTAGCTCGCCAGAGGTGTTCACCTGTGTACCAGTGTGCTGTGGGGAGAGGTTGGGCAGGTTTGAGGACCAAAGTAGTGCCAAAAGGCTCCCAGGCAGGAAGAACTGGGAAACCAGCTTGTTCTTTCTCCCTTCCTCTCCTTCAAGTTACTGTCTTGTCTCAACAACTGCCAGACATGATAAACAAAAGACAGACAATTTATTTCACATCATCTAAGCTGTATGCAAGGCAGCAACAAGGAAAGGGTGTGCAAAACAGGCCTAAAATCCTCCCTCTCTAATTCCCTGCAGTGGTGAGAGCCAACCTACTCAAGGGTTAGGGGGCAGGATGAGGAGAGAGATTCAGATGAATGGACAGAACTTGGTGCCAGGAGTTCAGAAAACGTCACCGAGATGCGTCCTTCACTCAGGATCCAGGACTTCCGCCTGGTTGACAGTGGCGTTTGAGACAGTCTGCCCATTCAGAGAGTCTTGTATGGGCCTGCAGTTGCTGCTGGAGGACACGGTGCCAGAGGGATGGCTCAGAATCAGACTCCAGAACCTTTTATGGTTGAAGTAGCAGAGGGCCGCTAGGAAAGGACAAGGGGATGGGGGAGAGGAAAGTTGGAGAGTGGGAGGAAAGTGGCAACAAGGGTGAGGCCGAAGGGAAGAAAAGTCCCTAAGAACCTATCCCTAGGGATTGACAGCCCCCTCCCTCCACGCTTCCTCTGCCCTGACCCACCCAGGTTCCCCGCTTCCCAGGGCGCTCCAGCCCACTCACCACAGGTGACGTATAGGAAAAACACCAGCCAGCCAATGAAATAACTCCAGCCAATGGGGATTGATAAATTCTTCTTCAACTCGAAGAGCCAGACGTTAATAGGGAACAGTATGAGGGTGAAGAAAATCAAGAAAACTAGGAGACAGGAAGCAAAGCGGTCTTATTCTTACCCTAGAATCCCAAAGGGTCTCGTCCTCATCTGCTGAACTACAGCCACAAACCACAGCTCCCATCAGCACACACACAGTACCCAGCCCCGGAGCTTCCTGGGTACCAACCCCTCCACCTCTACCTCTCCAGTGACCAGGAAATGACAACTCACTCCTCAGTCAACAGCTACCAGTTCTGCTCGCCCATCACCCACAAAACCCGTACCCCACTCCCAAAGCAAGGAAGAGGGAAAAGTGCCAGGGAGATGTGGGTTAGGAGGAACTAAGGACCTTTTTCAGAGCTAGGGGGCACCTTCACAGAAGTTCACGACTGTCCCAATCCAGCCAAAGAAGGGCAATCGCTGAAAACCAGGTATGTATGGCAGGTGCAACCAAACGGTGAAGACGAGGCCCAGCCCCAAGGCCAGGCAGAAGGTTATCCTGGCCACCCCAAAAGCTGGGTGGTTTGTCCACAGCTTAAAACTGTCTAGGGAAAATGAGAAAACAGGATGAACCAAGGATTCATGAAAGACACAATACAATCAAATGAGCAAACACGAGAAAATGTTCAGGCCCCTCATAAGCAGAGAAATGCACATGTGCGATAACAATAAAATACCACTTCCGCTTATTACATAGGCAGAGATTCTTGATGTGGAAATTGCTTAATAATTCCAATCACATGAAAACAAATACCTCAACAGAAAACATGGACCGAGGACTTGAAGTGCAATTCTCAAAGGTATTTGAATGTCCAATAAACACCTGAAACCCAACACCAAGAATTGTAAATTAAATGTGCATAAAAAAAGAATAAAATAATGCCATTTGCAGCAGTATGGTGGACCTGAAGATCATCATTCTAAGTGAAGTGGGCCATAAAGAGAAAGAAAAAAGCTACGTGATATAATTTCCATGAAGAATCTAAAAAATAATAATAATGACACAAATGAACTACTTATTATTTTTAACTTAGATGACTGATTTCTTGAATATGTGTAAGCACATTTGACTGTCCTTTATGATTGGATTACCGCATTCTGTTGATTCTTATATAGTAGTTGGCTTTATTCCTTTGATAACTATGTAAGTTTAAAAAGCTAAAGCTCTAATCTGTTCTTAGAAACAATGATCAGTACATACATGTAAACTTAAACAAAAAATGCAGTATACTGTTTATATGTATTTACATGCAATATAATGTGTATGTGCAGTCAAACTGTAATAATTCTACCTAATAAAACTGAAAAAGGAAGAAAAGAATTATAAATTAAATGTGATCTTTTGATGTATCAAATTAGCAAAGATCAAAACAAAATTGCTGATATCTTGTGTAGGAAAGGAGTCAGAGAAAAGAGGGGCTTTGACACACTGCTGGTGGGCAGCATTTCTGCTGCGTCACGTGGCATAAAATATCCCCCTTTCTAAAATCTAAATTGTTAAAGCCCTTTGACCCAGCAATGTTTCCTCCTGGAATTAATATTGAGGAAATAGTCCAAGATAATGCACAAAAATTTATGTATAGGGATCTTCTTTGCAGAATTATTTATGTCTAATAAGATATTTCTTAAATAAATTATAATGTACCCATACAGCAGGTTAGTATATGATCATTAAAAATGATGATATAAAAAAATGAATTAAAAAAATGATGATATGATAGTTGGTTGTCTCTAAACAGAATGTCTCTAGGAAGAAACTAAGGAGGAAACCTGGGAGCCACAGGTGCGAGGCTTACTTCACTATGTAATCTATTGTATTTTTTGAATTTTCACTCTGTACATACATGACCTAATCAAATAAATTTTAAACAGAGGTGAGTTATAGAATAATTATTTTTTGGTACAAATAAATGCTTACCACTGAAAAGTGGACTTTGCAACACACAGCATATAAAATGATTGCAATTTTGAAAAAAAAAAGACGTATTTGTTAAAATGAAAATAAACGAATATATTTATTTTATATAGATACACAAAAGACTAGACGTATATCCAGTGTAATGCCAACTGTGATTATTATCTGTGTGGAGAAATTTTAGGTCATTTTTATTTCCTTTCTTAAACTTTCTGCATTTCTAACAATGACTATGCAACTTTTTTTAAATTAGAAAAAAATTGCCTACTCTTATGTTTAGTGTTAACAGTCATTGCTGGCAGAGCTTCAATGCAACAGCCTTGTCATATATTGTTTATTTACTATATTATTTACGTATTTTATTTTGGCAGGGGGAGGGGAGAGGTAATTAGGTTTATTTATTCTCAGAGGAGGTACTGGGGATTGAACCCAGGACTTCCTGTATGCTAAGCAGGTACTCTACCGCTTAAGCTATACCCTCCCCTATGTATTATTAGTGGAAGCATAAAATGCTATCAGCCTTTTTGAAAGCAACATGAAAATTTTTATTCAAAGCCTTAAAATATTTATATTCTTTGGTCCAGTAAATCCACTTTGGGAAATCTTTTCCGAAGAATACTAAACCCAGAAAAACCTTCATGATTAACCAGCTTTGTTGCTTCTTTTTTTTTCTCAAATAGGAAGCTGGAAATAAATTTGCCAAAAATAGACAAATAAGGGGGAAGAGTATAGCTCAAAGTGTCAGAGCAGATACTTAGCATACAGGAGGTCCTGGATTCAATCCCCAGTACCTCCACTAACAATAAACAAATAAACCTAATTACCTCCCCCCTCAAAGAAAACTGAAAAAAAAATTTCTTTAAATAAAAATTAGAAACAAAAATAGACAAAATAGTCAAATAAAAAATGCTAAATCTATTAAGTTGAATAGGACGGTCATAATATGGAAATGTTTATTATATCTCCTAAAGATAAATTTTAAAATAATATAAAATCAATAATAAAAGTAATTTAAAATACATAAAATTATTTAAGATGAATATAACTATGTAAAAATCATTCAAAACGTGTTCAATAGGGAAAAAAGAAGACTGGAAACAACCGAGTGCTGAATCAACAGCCAGTGGAGACTGTCTTTGACCAGCCCTGAGGACTGAAAACTCATGGAGATACTTACATGAGTTTTGGAGCCAGACACACCTGAATGATCATTGTAAACCTGCCACTGTTAGGTTGATCCATATGAATTTGCCCTTTTTGTAGGTGAAAAAAACGTCAAAAATCAGTCATTTCATGTTCAACCTAATAGCTGTATGACCCTAAGCAAGGTAACCTGAGTCTGTTTTTTTTTATCGGTAAAATAAGGATGATTATCTCTAGCTCTTAGGGTTGATTGAGGATTAAATTAAGCAAATAGAGTAAGTATGCCATAAATGTTGCCCTAAATTTATTGGAATAAGGACATGTTGCTTTCATAATAGAAGTAAATAACAGCTGTGTAACTTTTTTTTAATGTTAGCAAGGTGAAGAAGTGGAATTGGGGTGGGGGTGAGGTTCAAAAGCGCTGAGAAAGGAGGCCCGAACCAGGGAGGTGAGGGGACAACACGACAGGAAACTAACAAGACTAGGGAATGAAGTAGCCGCAAGAAACCTGGGAAGGAAGGAACAGGGTAACCAGATGTGGAAACCCAGAGCTGGCCCAGGAAAGCAAAGCGTGAGGCCGGAGAGAAGACCAGTGGTAGGAATGGGGGCCTGAGGGAGAGCATTCTGGGGACTCCTCAATCTCTGGGTATGCAAGTCTGGAGAAAGGACATCCCCACCTTCCCATGAGTGATTCACATGCGCCCAGAGGCCATGCCCCTACAACATTTCCGTAAGCACAGACTTGGCTCCCCCAGCCTTATCAAAAGCAGTGACACTTTCCATTGGGTCAGGCTAATCGGTTTGGCCAGATCGGGGAGGAAAAATGATCCCTGGGGGTCTTGGGGCCAGTGGAACCATCTTACAGGCCAAAAAAGTGGGGATGACCAGAGAGAGGGCCCAAGAATACCGGGGTGCTGATGGCCAGGCCAAGGCAGGCTGCCGCCCTGGCGTAGGATGGGGGTGTAAGGGGCTCACCTTTCCCATTCTTCTGAGTTGGAACAGCTCTTGGATTTGCAGATCTGCAGGAGCCCCATGGACATGATGTGAGCCGTCGTGTAGATTCTGGTAGTAACATTCGTGGGCCAGCGCTGATAGAACCGACACTTCGAGAGGTACAGCCAATTCTTGGAGAAGACCATGACCAGCAGCAAGATGAAGGCGATCAGGCTGAGCTCTGAGGCCAACATCTGCGCTATCCAGCGGGAGCTGTGTGTAATCCTCCATTGCAGGGGCAGCGGAGAGACCCGGCGATGCTGCACATGTTGGTCCACAGGCAGTTGCCTGTTATTGGCCGGGGCAGAGACGCAGCTCTGCACCCCTTCATCTTGTTCCAGGCTCACCTCCACCCTATCCTGCTTCCCAGCCCTCCCAGCCATTTCTAGTCTTCTGATGCTCATCGCTGTCTCCTCCTGACTCAGGAAACTCATCCCTAATGTCCCCTGTCCCTATCTTGAGCACTCCCTGACTTCCCTGCTATCCTCCACCCCATCTCCCCATTCCCTTGCCAGAGTCAGTTGTCCCTCATCTTTTAAATATTTTCATCAGTGGCCGCCACAGGGTCTGGGATCTGGGAAAGAACAACCCATTCAGCAGGACAGGGCCACTAACTGCCATGGAATATTCCTGGAGGTTGGGGGGGGGTTGTCAAATGGGGGAGGGGCCTACAGCTTCAGCTCCAGCTCTTTCTGGAAACCCTGCTCCTCGGGCCCCAACTCAGAATTGTGGGTCTGATACGTCCCTTCTCCTGAGAGCCGTGGTCGCTGAGGGTCTCCTGTCTTCCCATGTCCTCTGCCCTAACCCCACGCCAAGTGCTCCTGATGGAGCAGGAGGGGAGCTTGTCCCCAGGGAAACATTTGGATATGCCTTCTACACACGTCATCCATCTTCTCCCTTACCTCCCCAACCTCTACTCACATTAGGTCCCCAGTTCCCATTCCATCCCCAGTTTTTACCTTTTCTCTTCTTTTTTTCTCAGCACCAGAAGGGGGAAGGCAGAGGACGAGGAGGCAATTTAGGGGCTTCACACAGTCTGAGATTTTTCTCACCTCCCTTTTAAGCTGTAGGAAAATAAATCTGAGTCACCCGCGGCAACCTGATCACAAGGGCTTCCAGACCTCACTTAGCCCCTGAAATTCTTATAAGAAGAGAGTCTTTCCAATTTGGGATGTGAGTTTGAATCCCACCAGAGTTGGTTTGCTTTGCAAAGATGGTGATACATGTGGTTAAGAACACAGGCTTTTGGGTCCAACAGGCAGAGGGATGAATAAACAACCTTGTGAACCTGAAGGAATCGCATGGCCTCAGATTACTCATCTGTAACCCAGGACAGTAATATTTTTTTCCAGCTTGGTTTGGGAATTGAATGAGATCATGAACAAAAAGCACTCTGGTTCACAGTAAATTCCCAGAAAGTGGAGTTATTATTGTTAAGTTATTGTTGTAATGGTTTGGCACTATTCACTAGCAAACAGAAGGAGCAAAAACACAGAGGTGTTAGGCAGGCACCCTTGCATATGAGTGCTGCAAATGATGGAATGGAAGCAAAATT